TGCAAGGCATAGAACGACACAAAGTTTTCACCTTCTTATTGTTATTCTAAAAGATGAGGTCAATAGTAGAATTTATATTGAAAATTCTTGCTTCTGGATAGAACCAAAACAAAAAGATCTATATTTCCTTTTTATAAGAAATGTAATGATATTCATTGAGCCATCTATCACTCTCTAGCTAGTTTCTACAGCCTGTATGTTTTTGAGTGATCGTATTACCATTTTCAGAGTCTTTACATTTGCCTGACGGGGTGGTGTATTTTACTAACGAATATTTGTAGGATACTATGGTTGTATGCCGCCTTCGAAAGAACAGTGAGTTCCACATAAATGATAATCAAGGAATAAGTTCTCTCATTCAAAGTGATATGTCTGTAGTAAACGATGTAACTACAGCTCCATATGGAGTTGAACAATCAGGCATGGTTGAAGGGACCAAAGTTGGTGAAAGCTGTTCAAAGGAGTATAGTAGCATTTATAATTCTCATTCTGTAGAACAGGTTGACTCTGGCTCTGAATCTGGTGAGAAAGTAACGGAGTTCAATCAGCACAATTCTTCAAGCAACGAGAAGGTTCTTTTTACATATTCATGTTCTGTTGGTAACTGCTTATATCTGCATATCTAACCCAGATTAAGAGAGAAGAAAGATGTCCTTTGATATAAATGGATTTATGATATCTGTTCTCTGATGCAAAATTACAGCTAAATATCGACTTTTAGCTGATTCCTTTTGCTTGTCCAGCCTGGGCTCTAATCTGTTGTTCGATTGTTTCTTGTTTCAGGATTGTGATGATGAAGAGGATTTTTATGCTGATATAATGAAAGATGATATAATCACACTAGATGATTCTTCATTAAATGAAACTGCAGGACTCTTTTCATCTGTCTCTGTAGAACCCAAGCTGGACACGAAATCTGAGCATCTGACTCAGTCTACTGTATCCACCACATTTCTTTTCCAGGGGACAGCAAATCGACGACCAAGACTAAGGTGGCCAAAACTAGAACGTCGTCGAGTAAATCTCTCTGAAGCATCTAAAGGTGAAAAGGAGTACACTGGTGAGAGTGAAGCTAGCTCGAGTACCCAGCAGACACTACTTAGCCATTTTCCAATGATTAGAGTTAGGTTTACCCTGTTTCTGGTTCTATTAGTTTTTCTGGGGCTACTTCTGTTCTTTACTGGAAGTTATTGGCAAGTCAAGAAGGTTAATTATGGTTCTGGATTTAAAAGATCTCCTAATATTGACTGGTACGGTTTTATTACGTCGGTCTTGAAGTGATGCTTAAATACAGTTTTTTAGCATGTAAGAGGAGATCAGAATGTGTATTTTACTGTGTAATGTAATAAACTTTTATGATATATACATGTTTGCTACAGATGGATTATGAACCTTTCTTAATGTACTCGGATACTTTTTCTTGAGACTGCAATGTTCTATTTTACTTGGCTCTGTTCTTGTCTTGTTTTTTTATTTTTCCTGCCTATTCTCGGTTTACTTATTACTGCTGGCAAATATGTTGTTACAAGTTTATTTTGGTATCTAAATCCTTCTTAAAGCCACGGAATAATACTCTACATCGAAGGACTCCAGAAATCTGTTTGTTCCATCAGTGTAGTTTGACTCAGAATTTGATCCAAGGTTCATGTTCTACAGCATTTCAAAGTTTCAGTGTAACAATCTTTCCTTTCCAGATCAAAGATTCACCAGTTTTGAGGAGTGATGGCCTTGAGCTATACATTTCTTCGGGGTCGTGGGATTTTTTAAAAAAAGACTCAAAATTTAGTAGGAAAACTTATCACAAGAGGTAGCAGTAGAACCAGATCAACGGGTACTGTGAACTAAAGGTTCAGTTTATTTCTATATTATTTTCCAGATCAATTGATTTATAAAACTTAAATTATTTATATACTACTAGTAATTGTCACGTGCGTTGCACGAATTTTATATTTATCGTATTTTTATTAGCGTATGAATTTTAGTTTTTTGAAATGTTTTTGAAGCAATATCTATAAATGTTTTCATGATATAAGAAAATAATTCCAAATTATTACTGATTTTTACAGTTTCATCACAGTATTTTGTCACATCTAGAAAAAATATGCTTGAATAAGAAATATATGATATTACACAAACTATTTTGTTTGGATTGTTGACATTCAATGTTTGACAGTGTTGATATTTATCTCCTATAAACTTACTTTCTCCAATGATTTTTCCAGGAAACAATGTCTATAGTATAGAAAATAACATGTAGTTGATGAAATTGGATAAAAGAAAATTATATACAGAATTTCATTAATCATAATATTATTATATCAACTGATTATATATACATAGGAAAACGTTAAATATNTTAAATTAAATAAAACTACATTTGATTTGTGGTTGTAATAACTTGAGATCGATGAAGAGATGAAATTTGAGAGATGAAAGGGTTTAAATGAAATAATGGAAGAATAAGAAGTGATACCTTTCTGTCATTTTATTTTGACATTTATTTTGTTTGAATTCTGTGGTAGCATTCTTTTTTTTCATAGGTTAATTTTGTTTTTCACAGCGTATTTTTTTTCTTTGTATTATGTTTGTTCACTCATTTGGATTGCAGTGGTTTTTTTTAGAGTATGCTTTTTTTGTTGTTGCATTATCTTGAAGTTATATTCTTTTAGTTATATTCTTTTATTAATGTAAAAGAAAATATCAAATTGATTTATAATTTGTTATAAATGTATAAAATTTATTTAATATTGAATTTCTTAACTACGAAATGTTGTAATTCAATATTATCTTCTTTTTATATAATTGTATTTCTTGCTTCGGGAATTAAAAAAAGAGTGGTTAAATGTGTTTTTTTTTATTTTTTTATTTTTTTGTGGAAGATGAAATTATTTTTATTTTTTTATGCTATTTGTAAAAAAAAAATTATTGTAATTTTATTACTGTAACAAGAAGATTTATTATGATTATTTAAAAAAATTTCAACACCAAACAATAAATCTATACTCTTAACTTGCTGAAGAATTAAATGAAATAACGATTGTAACAATGACGTGAGTATTTTTGAAAAAAAGCCAAAAATCATAGCAAAAGTTTTTACATTTTAGTGGGTAAAGTATGTATAGTGCAATAAATAATACATTTCACTATTTATTTATTTCAAATTCAAGCTCTCTTTCAACTGTTTTTCGAAATTCCTTATTTGAATAATAATTGTTGTTAGTTTTTGACAGTTTCCTTTTGTTGTGGTTGTTTGGCAACGTTCTTTCTTTTTCTTTCTTTTTTTATTATTATGTTTAGATTCTTTTATTGTTTAGCATTGCAATGATTCTTTCCTTTTTATTTTTTGAGAGATTTTTTTGGTATTATATTGAAATTAAACTTATTCTTTTAATTATATTTTTTTATTAGACTTACAATTTTTTATAAAAATTTAAAATTTATTTTATATTAAAAAAAAAAGAAAATTGAATATTGTAATTTTATATCATATCATAATAGTAATCTTTCACTTTAATGCATCTTTTTAAGCTAATAAAATAATAAACTAAAAATTGTACAAGACAAATTTTAATTATTATAGACAAATATTATGTTGCATGAATTCTACCCAAAAAAAAAAAAAAAAAGCGCAAAAAGGTTTCACATTGTGCAGAGCAACTTCACACCAAACTCCGCACATTCTGCGCACATTTTTGTGCAGAGTGTGTAGAGTCCCCACAAAAATGTGCGGAGTCTTCACTGTCTCCACACATTTGTGCGGAGTCTCCGCACATAGGGAGATTTTGTGAGGAGTCTCCGTACATATTCTTTGCACAGTGTAGAGACTTTTTTTTAAACTAGCATCTACAATAGAATGATTGCAGATGAAAGTACAAATGAAGATAAAATAAAGTTATATCATATTTATGAAACAATAAATGTGAACCAACTATAAAATTAGCGAAACTAAATCCTCGATATTCCAATAAAAATGAATTCACCAAATTAACATAAAAAATATAAAATTTATTTTATATTGAATTTCTGATTTACTGTATAAAAAATAAAGAAAATTGACTGTTGTAATTTTATGTCATATCATAATAGTAATCTTTCACTTTAATGCATCTTTTTAAGCTAATAAAATAACAAACTAAAAAATTGTAGAAGGCAAATTTTAATTATTATAGACAAATATTAGGTTACATGACTTTTAGCCAAAAAACAAAGAAAAAGAAAGAGAAAAAGATTGCACATTATGTGAAGCAACTCCGCCACAAATGTATTGTGCGGGACTCCGCACATTTTGTGATTTTGTGCGGAGTCTCTGCACATGGGGAGACTTTGTGAGGACTGAGGAGTCTTGACACAGCGCATAGTTTTTTTTTTTTTAAGCTAGCATCTACAATAGAATGCTTGCAGATGAAAGTATCAATGAAGATAAGATTAAAAAAAAAA